AAAAAAAAAAAAAAAAAAAATTGATGATAGTCAATAGTCTGAATAACTCATCTTCTTTCTAAGTGTCACCCTATCCTTTAATTTCTTATTTTGCATTTTTTCTCCTTTCCTCTTGGTTCTTCCTATCTACCTCTGCTGAAATATTCAGTTGAACTGTATGAAATTGCTGATATTCAACCATGTTTGACCTACAAAAATGACAGCTTCATTTGGTTCGACCTAATGTAAGAACCAAATTTTCTATATTAAATTAGAAATCTAAAATTATTGTCATCATAATGCATATTGTTTCATTAATTATAAGACTCAAAGATGGTTTTTTACAATGTACCAATTGATCAGAATTGACAAATTATCATGTACTTCAAATACATAGGGTACTTTCTATAGGGTACCTAAAACAAAGATTTAAAAAGATTCATATAATTAAAAGTAGAAAACAAAACTTTATTTGATGAAAACTTTTTAAAAGTTCCAGTATGAAATAACAAAATCAACAACCTACAAATCTCTTTCAGTCCTTTGCATTTCAAGCAAAATATTCTCTTCAGAAAAAATGACCATTTCATAATATATATCCCCTTCTGTAGGCTAGGCATGTATGAGTGAACAAATGGATATAAAATTCAAGAAAACAATGAAATATTTAAAAAATAAAAATCTGAACCTTTTCCTTGAGGTGTATTGCGATATGGTTACCAACATATTCAGCACCTTGTAATCACCAAGTTACTGATTTGAGTCCTGGAACAAGACCCTAAAATTAAAGAACAAGAGATCCTAGTCATTTGTGAGTCACAGGTTGGCAGCAGCAGAAGAACTGACAGCAATTAGAGGAGCTCAAATATATGAAATTCACACTTCTGAAATATTTAATACTCACTTCAAACAGCTAATTGTCTAATGATTTAAAAAAGGAAACAGCTTGGAGTCTGGAATATGGATAGTTGTCCTCTGAGTGACTGGGCATTCCCTATATACCTTCAGTACTGTTATCAACATATGTCTCCATATTGAGAGAGCAATCAAATATCAGGAGCTCCCATTTCACAGATAACCTTGGGTATAGAAACTCAAGGTGTCAATTGTTCTTTTACTTTATCCCTAAGGCAAATGTCATCTAAACTTACAAAAGTCTTTCGAGACCTAAGGTTCTTGTCAATATTTGATTATAACAAACCACATCAAGAAAGTCAAATATATCTGATTCAATGCACTGTCACCCGTTTGCACTAATAGAAGGATCAATTCCTTGAATCTTTTCTCTTTTACCTCTTAGACTCCTGGGAACGTTAACCAGGAAACAAATGAGGCAAGCAAGATCCTGCTATAAATCAAAGAACTACTAGACTCATGAAATAATTTTAAATGCACTTTAACCATGAGTGAAAAGTAGAAATTGATAGCCCCAATTCTTTTTAAGGGCAGATGATACTTTACATCTTGATCTTAGGAATAAAACTGTCTGTAACAAATGTCTAGGGATCAAGTCATTACAAAGTCACTTCATGCTTAAGTATTTCAAATCCTGATGCTATTAAGTGAATTTGTGTTTGACTTATTTAGACAGAGGTTTTATTTTGTGAAATTTTCTGTTCAGATTATTTATATGCTTTTAACTTTAAAAGGATAGTAATCTGTGCTTATCTGCTTATATATCTGAAATTACCCATCATAACCATATACAAGCTTAGTGTCTGGAGAACTACAAGGTTATTTTTTATATCACAAGATCTGCTCCTATTTAATGTAGACTTACTAAAATCTTCTACTGTCTTCATACAGTCCTAGATATAACTCATTATATAGATTCATATATAATGCCAGTTGTTCAGTACCAAGCATAGTCAATCATTCCCATCGTAATCACTGTAGCCCTGGTAACCACTGTTCCTTCTCTCATGGATACTAGACATCTTTTTCCAGGCTGAGTCCTGATGGAAACTAGCACTGAAAGACCGGCCCAGACGCCCATGCTGCTTCTTGGAAATATTGTCTTCACTCTCAGATTTGGCAATTCCCTGGGCATGTGTTGGAGGTTGTGATTCTTGTCTAATGGTTCCAAATGGAAAGTTCCAAAGGCCAAATCTTTGCCAATTAAGTCTCTGGAATGCTATGATGCAATGCAAATTTCCCCCAACCTGAGAAGAAAAAAAAGTTGGGTCAAGAAAATAAAGGGAAATTAATTGCACAAATTTATAGGTCCCTATGAACTCTCTTCTTTTGTTTTTTACGTCCCCTGCCTCAAAATGGTACTTTCCATCCAGGCATCATCAGAGCACATTATCCTGCACCTTTTCTGACAGCTGCCTTTACAAAATATAATAATACGAAATATAGTGATGCCCACAGGAGCCAAAACACCTTCCTCCACATGCCTCTGTACTACTCACTCCCAACACATACTAGAAAACTTCCCCATCTGCCTAATTCAAACACCAAGATCATTCTTCTTCCTCTCCTATTCTTCAAAAAGTCATAGGAGTAAGATTGTATCAATGACGTATCATTTCCTGAGAGCCTCCCCCAAAGCCTTGTTTGTACACATGACTCTGCCACAAGGCCACAGTTAACCTCGCCCAAGCTGGGCCAAGATTATGGAACTGAACCCAAGACAGATCAGTCTCAGTCCAGACTGTTCATCTAAAAAAGAGACATAAATAGAAAGATAACGATCTTAAGAAGAAAGTAATCAAACAAAAGCAGAGCTAAGAATAACATATAGCCCCCAAAAGAGTGAAACCGACTACCAGATACTTGGCCCCTGCTGTCATTCCAATACCTGTTACCATTCTTTTATGGCACCAGGTTGTACTCCTGGCCCTTGGGTTTTAAAAACAGCCCTGTGCTCTTACAATAATTTTCACTCCTCCATCAAATATAGGTTTCTGTTATTTACAACCTGAAGAGTGCTAAGTAAAACACTGCATTTTGGTCAGCTGGGAAATGCCTTCAAACACAATGGTGTTCTTACCTTCTTTGTTTTTCGATACTGCAGTCCCCTCTCTAAGTGCCGGATATCCAGGTATTCTGGATTTTGAGTGTTCAGATCAGTAACAATATCTGCCCATCTATAGTTAAGAAGAAAGGATAAACCACAGTTTTCGTTAGGTCCAAAGTATCATTGAAATGGAATTTTTCACAAGCAAATTGCTGCAATATTATCACAGCAATAACTGGCAGTAATTCTCTTATCTCAGCATCTTTTCATCTACTAAACTGTAATAACTTCTTGTTTTATGACAATTCTGTTTATCCAACCATTGCCAAGTTTCTCAGTATACAATTGGTTACTCTTCCTATAGAATAAATAAATACCAACATGTTAGATGGTATCCTGTAGGCTAAAGCAACAACATGCTATATCTATATTTCAATCACAGTCAAGTCCACTTTTAAAAGAATGTAAAGTTAACGTGTCTTCTTTAGCAGACAACACAATTGTGCAGAAAATCCAAGGGAATTACAAAACGACTAGAACTAACAGGATTTGGTAAAGATGTAAGATTCAAGGTCTATACAGCAACATCAATTGTATTTTTGTATTCAATCAGCAAATAATGAGGAAATGAAATTTTTTTAAAATCTATTTACAATAGTATCAAAAAGTATAATGCACGGAGGAAAAAAACGTTATTGTAATGTCTTTTTTAAGTTTTATTTCAATTGTTTTTGGGTTACAGATGGGTTTTGGATACATGAGTAAGTTCTTTGGTGGTGACTTCTGAGATTTTAGTGCACCCATCACCCAAGCAGCGTACACTGTACCCAATATGCAGTATTTTATCCCTCACCCCATCCCAGACTTCCCTCCAGAGTCCCCAGAGTCTATTACATCATTCTTATGCCTTTGCCTCCTCATAACTTAGCTCCTACCTAAAGTGAGAACATATGATATTTGGATTTCCATTCCTGAGTTACTTCAGAATAATGGCCTCCAGCACAATCCAAGTTGTTGCAAAAGACATCAGTTCATTCCTTTTTATGGCTGAGTAGTACTCCCTGGTATACAAATATCACATTTTATTTATCCACGCATTGGCTGATGGGCACTTAGGTTGATTCCACATCTTTGCAATTGCAAATTGTGCCACTATAATCATGTGTCTGCCTGTGTCTTTTTCACATGACTTCTTTTCCTTTGGGCAGATACTCAGTAGTGGGATTGCCGGATCAAATGGTAGATCTATTTTTAGTTCTTTAAGGCATCTCCATAATGTTTGCCATAGTGATTGTGCTAATTTACATTCCCACCAGCAGTGTAAAAGAACACACTGAAAAACGGTGTTTAACAAAAGACATAAAACTCCATGCTGAAACATTTTTTAAAATGCTGAGAGAAATTAAAGCTCTAATTAAGTAAAGATATGGTCCATGTTGTTATGATGTCAATTCTCCCAAAACTAAACTGTGAATTATTTATTTATTTATTTACAAGACAGGGTGTCTTCTTGTCACTCAGGGAGGAGTGCAGTGGTGCAATCTCAGCTCAGTGCAACCTTGACCTCCCAGGCTCAATTGATCCTCTCACCTCTGCCTCCCAAGTAGCTGAGACTACAGGTATGTGCCACGTTACCTGGCTAATTTTTGTAGTTTTGGTAGAGACAGGGTTTTGCCAGGTTGCCAAGGCTGGTGTCAAAATCCTGGGCTGAACTGATCTTCCCACCTAAGTACTAGGATTACAGTCATGAGCCACCGCACCCAACCTAAATTATGAATTCTATAGATTCTATCCTAATCAAAATCTCAACAAGCTTTTTAGCCAAAAGGCAAATTCTAAAATATTTATGGAAAAGCCAATGTCCTAGAAGAGCCAAAACAATCTAAGAAAAATTCAGAGGATTCATGCTATCTAATTTCAGGATTTAGTATAAATTATAACCATTGAGTGTGTGGCATCGGTTAAAGGACAGACAAACAGATTAGTGGGACAGAGTCCAGAAACAGCCCACACATATATGGGCAGTTAGTTTTCAGCAGAGGCACCAAAGAAATAACGAAAGGAAAATCTTTGTAAACAAATGGTGCTGGAATAACAGATAAACATGGGGGGCAAAATCAAAGTTGAGCTCTACCACACACCACACACAAAAAGTAGTTAAGGCAGGCATGGCAAACATCTGTAATCCCTGCCCTTTGGGAGGCCAAGGAGATAAGCTCATATGAGCCCAGGAGTTTGAGACCAGCCTGGGCAACACAGCAAGACTCCTGTCTCTACAAAAACTTCTAAAATTAGTAGGGCATGGTGGAACACATCTGTGGTCTCAGCTACTCAGGAGGTTGAGGTGGGAGGATCACTTGAGCCCAGGAGGTCGAGGCTTTAGTGAGCCATGATCACACCACTGTACTCTAGCCTGGGTGACAGAGAGAGACCCTGTCCCAAAATAATAATAGAAATGGATCAAAAATCTAAACATAAAATTTATAAAACTTCTAGAAAAAAAAACAGGAAACCATCTTTGAGGTCATGGAGTAGGCAAAAATTTCTTAAAGAGGCACCAAACACATAAAAGAACAAAACTGATAAAATGTATTTAATTTAAATTAATTAATTAGAGTCAGAACTTCTGCTCAATTTTACAAGCACTTTGGAGAACTTTCTAAAGTTCTCCAAAGAGAACTTTTCTACAGTTTCTTAACTATACATCTATACGATAAACTGGCAATTCCAGTACTAGGTATCTCCCAGAACAAAACATACATCTTCTGAAAGACTTGTACAACAAAAGGTGACATATCCATACGAAGGAAATGATTGGGTCCTATAAAGGAATGAAGTTCTAATCCACGCTAAAACATGGATGACACTGAAAACACTGTATTAAGTGAAAGAAGCCAGGTACAAAATGCTACATACTGTATGACACCATTTATACGAAATGTCAAGAAATAGGCAAATCCCAGCCAGGCGCATGCCTGTAATCCCAGCACTTTGGGAGGCTGAGGCAGGCAGATCATTGAGGTCAGTGGTGTGACATCAGCCCAGCCAACATGGCGAAACCCCGTCTTTACAAAAAATGCAAAATTAGCTGGGCATGGTGGTGTGTGCCTGTAATCCCAGCTACTCGGGGCTGAGGCAGGAGAATCGCTTGAACCTGGGAAGCAAAGGTTCAGTGAGCTGACATCACGCCACTGCTCTCCAGCCTGGGCAACAGAAAGAGACTCTGTCTCAAAAAAACAAAACAAACAAAAAAGAATAGGTGAATCCCTAGAGGCAGAAAGTAGATCAGTGGCTGCCAGGGGCTCAGGGAATCCGGAGTGACTGCTAATGAGTATGGGGTTTCTTTCTGGAGTGATGAAAACTTTCTCCAATTAGATAATGGTGATTGGTGCACAACCCTGTAACTATACGAAAATCTATGGAATTGTACATTTTTTCCCCTTTTTTTGAGACAGGGTCTTGTTCTGTCACCTAGGTGGGAGTGCAGTGGCACGATGGCAGCTTATTGCAGCCTCAATCTCCTAGGCTCAAGCAATACTTCTGCCTCATTATTCGATTTTTTCTTTTACAGGCATGGTCTCATTATGTTGCCCAGGTTGGTCTAGAACTCCTGAGCTCAAGCGATCCACCCATCTCAGTCTCCCAAAGTGTTGGGATTACAGGCATGAGCCACTGCACATGATGGATGCAGTGAACTTTATGGTATGTTCATTATATTTTAATAAAATTGTTATGTAACTTTTTCAAGGCTTGTACATGAATGTTCCTAATAGCTTCATTCACAAGAGACCAAAACTCAAAGCAATCCAAATGCCCATCAACAGGAAAATGGAAAATAAATTGCAGCATGCTTATGCAACCAAATACTACTCAGCAATAAAGAAGTAATAATCTCCTGATACACATGACACAATGGAAGAATCTCAAAAATGTTACTTAAGATATTGACACAAAAATAATACTGTATGATTCTGTTTACATTGAATTCAAGAATAGGCAATGTACATCTGTAGTGACAGAAATCAGAAGACGGGCTTTCTCTGGGGATTGATAGGAGTAAAGAGTGAAGGGATTTTCCATGGCAATGAACGTGCACCACATCCTATTTAGGTGCTGCTTATACAAGTGCATTTGTTTATGCAACTAATTATACACAACTAAGATCTGTGCATTTCACTGTATCTAAATGTTACCCCATTTAAAGAAAATAAAGGGAAATTAACATACTTTTTACAGTGAATGGCAGGGTGTTTTCTACTTGATTCTCCAATTAAGATCCAATATTCGACTTCCTGTGGTGAGAGAGGCCCCCTGCTAAATACAAAATACATTCACAATAAGTTTCATAGGTACTCACTCCCTTGAGTCTATTGCTTCAACTATATATATTAATAAAAGGTATACTAGAGTGTATTCAAACACAGCATTCATTCAGCAAGAACAGACATTAGAGCTTAGGTAGGGGCAAATTTCAACAGGCCATTAAAGAGAACTCACAAATTAAATTTCGGCCTTAATCCTCTATTCAAAATCTAGGGCTATAAAATGTTTTAATATACCACCTCTAAGATTATAGGAGGAAAAAAAAAATCCTGGAATGCTACCAGCATATTTCCACTACTCTTCTCCTTTCACTATGAACTCAAGACATCTCAAAAGGCATCCTAAAAATAAAACCCTAATCCAATGGAGTCTTTAAACACACTGATGTCCTAATCCCATCCCTGGGCATTCTAATTCAAATAGGCCTGGAGTAGAGCCTAGGGATTTATATAGTTTTTTTTAAAAAATCACATGATTCTTAGGTACGGGCAAAAGTGAGGAACTCTCTTTTAAAGGGTACAAAGTTGGTTTAAAATCATGATTTATATTTGATAAATGTCTGAAATAAGGTGAAGCTGCAGGACGAAATCATAAAAGAAATACACAATATACCTCACATATAAGAAATTGCACCTCCAGAGAGATGAATAAAGCATTTCAGCATTTGGAGAGAGCAATGAGTTCCCGCTTGCTCCTCATTCACAAAACACAACTTCCAGCTTCCTGGTTCTCCCGGGTCATGCCAACCTGTCTCAGAATCCCTCTTCCCTAACCCTGAGGGGCCTTTGAGTGGGACTCCAAGGCCACAAGGCCTCCAGCCCCAGATAACCCATCCAGACTGGGTATGGTGGCTCACACCTGCAATCCCAGCACTTTGGGAGACTGAGGTGGGTGGATCACCGGAGCCCAGGAGTTCAAGATCAGCCTGGGCAACATGTTGAAACCCATCTCTAAAAAAAAAAAAATAGAAAAATTAGCCAGGTGGGGTGATGTGTACCTGTAGTCCCAGCTACTCAGGAGGCTAGGTAGGAGGATCACTGAGCCCAGGAGGTTGAGGCTGCAGTAAGCTATGATCTCACTACTGCACTCCAGTCTGGGCAACAGAGAAAGACCTTGTCTCAAAAAAAAAAAAAAAAAAGAACCCATGACCAAGCCAATCCCTTTGCTCAAAGTATTCGTGGCTTGTGTCTTCACCAATTCTTTCTTTTTTTTTTTTTTTTAAAGAAAGGGTCTTGCTCTGTCACCCAAGCTGGAGTGCAGTGGCGTGATCTCAGCTCAAGCAATCCTCCCACCTCAGCCACCCAAGTAGCTGGGACGACAGGTACACACCAATACATCTGGCTAAGTTTTGTAATTTTTATAGAGACAGGGTCTCACTATGTTGCCTAAGCTAGTCTTGAACTCCTACGTGCAAGCGATCTGCCTGCCTCAGCCTCCCAAAATGCTGGAATTAGGCCACTGCGCCCCACCCACCAATTCTTAACAAGATACTTCTCCTTTGCTTAGAACCATCCTGGTATTATTTCAACCCATCATAAGGAAATCAGGCTAAGCAGGAAAAAAACCATTAAAGTACAGTCACTTTCTCTTTCTTAGGGATAATCTCTTCCAAAAAGGTCCAAGTTTACCAGTCAAGTTATATAGTTAATAAAACAGAAATTCCGGATTAGGCAAAGAAAGTAATATAACTATGAAGGTCACATAATTTCTGACATAAGAAATAAAAATTGGCTCTTGAACTTCCTTGCAATTAGGACAAAGGGGAACCAGATTCCACATTCTTTACTTTAATAAAGGAAGATGCTTTTCAATTTACTGAGTTGTGACAATCTTCTTGACACTAGATTCTGTAACACTTTGTTCATGTGGGACATTGGATGAGGCACTGAGACATAATCTGTAAAATCCTTTGCAACTGTTTCATAATAAATGTAAAAATTACTTTTCAGGAATGGTATGGTGGCTCACACCTGTAATCCCAGCACCTTGGGTGGCCCAGACAGGAGGACCACTTGAAGCCAGGAGTTTGAGACCAGGCTGCACAACATAGCAAGACCTTGTCTCTACAGAAAACACAAATTAAAAAATTTAATGAGCTGGGCATGGTGGTGCATGCCTGTAGCCCTAGCTACTCAAGCTGAGGCAGGAGGATTGCTTGAGGCCAGGAGTCTGAGGCTGCACTGAGCTATGATTACACCACTGCACCTCAGCCTGGATGACAGAGTGAGACCCTGTCTCTAAGGGGAAAAAAAAAGTGACTTTTCAAATGACTTTTTCCTATAATGACTGAACAATAGTATCTAAATGGAAATTTTCAACAACACAATTAACTAAATGCAATTCTGCAGAAGAGTAAGTCATAATGTTTAAAGAACAGTCTAACTTGATGTCAGGAAAGCAGATCGCCAAGCCTTCCAATTTCAGAGACTTCGAATATTTTTTAACATTTCTTAAAATGCACTTCTAAAACATGTCAATGCTTACCTTAATGCTTTATTAGCTTTAACAGGGGTTGCTTCAAAGCCAATTGGACAAAAATAATGATTTTGGCAATGATAGATATAAGCCAGCGATTCATCTTTCAATCCCCGGGTTAACTTGGACAGGGCCCCTGAAGCTATTAAAATAAACAAACAAACAAACAAACTGAAAGCCCACAAAGCAATGTCCATGCTTTACATGAAGGACTGGTTAAGGGCTTAAGGACAGAAAAGACATTACTTGAAACACACTGAGACTGCTAGGGAAAAAACAAGAAGCTATTGAAAGAATGTTAATAAATGTATTCTGTTTTACCCTTTAAACACAGATAATCTCATTAGCAGACTAAAGCACTAAAATCTGTCCTCACTTACCAAAACCTTCTAATAACACACACAGTTGTCTATGAAATTTAATTTGTCTGAAACCTAATACAGAGTGTATTCAGCGATGGTTTCAACTTTGCTGGTTACATACAGCTATCACTAAAAATACTGAACAAGTATGTCCAATTTTAGCACATGCATTTATAAACTATATACATAAACTACTGCACCAATATTCTTTATAAAAGATATACAAATCATTGGAATTTAAAATTAGATAATACAGAGGTTCTAATATATATACAGTATGCACATCCCAACTTAAAGACTACTGATATATATGAATAATAATAAACTCCAGATAATAAACAAGTTTCTAAAATGCAAACTTCTCCTACTAATGAAACGGCCAAATAAAAAGGGCTTCCCGGAGAATCTTCAACTGGCCTGAGTGCTGGGAAGATGGGGTTGGGCCTCGGGAAGTGCCCGCTGTTTGCAGTGGGGGAGAAGAACTGGGGGAGACGAACTGGCCTCTCCCGTCCCTGTGTGGTAACCTTCAATTCAATCTGTGAGATGGGGGCCTGTTAGCAAGAATCCTTCTTGCTTTGCTGAGTTTTTTCCTTTTCACCCAATAAATTCTGTTCCCCCTCACCTTTCAAAGTGTCTGCGAGCCTAATCTTATGTGATAAGAACCCAGTATTTTCTACAATACTAACACACACTTTAATCTTTCCACAAAACTTATAGAGGCTAATGGAGTAGCCTTCAAAAGTCAAGTGACAAGATAACATCTCTACAGAGACAGGCTGGTTGTACCACAACAACCTCTTATGCCCACTATTCTTCGTATATTTGCCATAGCTATAATAGTTGTCAATTTCAAAAGTATGATCATAAGAAATGACTTTTTACCAGCACTTAGTACTCAAAGGCATTAACTGAGGTTTCATTAACTTGCATCTCCTGGAAGAAGCTAAATTATTTATTAACAAACAGCCCATTAAAACTAGAAATCCTAAAAATAGATGAAGCAGATGAAAGCCTGCAAGTCATAGTTTCAATGATCGACTTTTTGGCCGCTGAAATAGCTGAAGACCACTAAGAACAGCAGGTCCACGCTGTAGCAGAGAGCCAAGGAGTGATGCACCGCCCATCAAGTGCATTAGCAGGGAAGATGGAACAGGTAACTTTAATAGAAGGTGGCATAAGATAGTGCCACAAAAAGGGTACAGAATTCAAAGGAGAAAGAGCACATCAGGTTTGAGGAGTCAAGAAGGGGTAGCATTCAAGGTGAAACTTAATGAAGTGTCAGGATTTCAACAATCTAGACAGAGGAAAGAGCATAATGAGAAAACAAAACCACTGGAGAGGCAATATATTCAGGAAACAGCCGGTGAGTAGTTTACGGAACACAGGGTATGATGGTATAGAGAAGTCTACCATGGGACACCCCAACAATTTCAGCCCAAAATCAGAAAAAGATCACCCTCTGAAATAAAAGATAGCAAACACAGCATTTATTTGTTTATTTTTATTTTTATTTTTTTGAGACAGGGTCTCGCTCTGTCACCCAGGCTGGAGTGCAATTGCACAATCTCAGCTCACTGCAACCTCTGCCTCCAGGTTCAAACAATCCTCATGCCTCAGCCTCCTGAGTAACTGAGATTCCAGGCACTTACCACCATGCCCAGCTAATTTTTGTATTTTTAGTAGAGATGGGGTTTAACTATGTTGGCCAGGTTGATCTTAAACTCCCGACGTCAAGTGATCAGCTCATCTTGGCCTCCCAAAGTGCTGGGATTACAGGCATGAGCCACAGTGCCAAGACAGTAAATACGGCATTTAATACGTTAAGGTAGTCATCCAAGAAGGTAATTCCGTGTATGAGAAGACACAAATGTATTACTGAGGGAAGGTAAATTTAGAAGTTCAGTCTGTATTCCAGTATGATCTGGCCGGGCTTGACCAACATAAAGAAACCCCATCTCTACTAAAAATAAAAAATTAGCCGGGCATGGTGGCACACGCCTGTGATCCCAGCTACTTGGGAGGCTGAGGCAGGTGAATCACTTGAACCCTGGAGGTGGAGGTTGTGGTGAGCCGAGATCGCACCACTGCACTCCAGCTTGGGCAACAAGAGCAAAATTTCATCTCAAAAAAAAAAAAAAAAAAATCTGGCCAGGTGTGGTGCTCATGCCTGTAATCCCAGCCCTTTGGGAGGCCGAGGCGGGCGGATCACCTGAGGTCAGGAGTTTGAGACCAGCCTAACCAACATGGAGAAACTTTGTCTCTACTACAACTACAACATTAGCCAGACGTGGTGGCACATGCCTATAATCCCAGCTACTTAGGAGGCTGAGGCAGGAGAATCCTTGAACCCAGAGGTGAAGGTTGCAGTGAGCTGAGATCACGCCATTGCACTTCAGACTGGTCAACAAGAGCAAAACTGTATCTCAAAAAAAAAAAAATGTTTTTAAACAAACACTTACTCTTTCACTTGCTTTCACTCAACTGCTATGTATTCGGTTTACAGGGTGCAAAATGTCATTGGCAGACATTTATAAAACTTTTAATGAACACAATTGACAGAATCATTCTTATACCTTCTAATAACTAGGGAATGACCATGAAAATCTTTTGGACCAGAAAAAGGTTTGGCATATATTGTGGAAATAAACATTCAAGAACTATAAAAGACAATGCCAAATCATGCATTTTCTTTTCATGGCAAATGAAGACACCTCAAATGAGATCCAGAAGAAACAAGAGACAGTGAAATCAGATAGATATACATTTCATACATTACACCAAATACAGAGGAAAAAAGTTTCAATATATTTAAAAAATAAAGGGCTTGAAAATATGAGTAAGGAGACCATTTTTAAAAACAGATTTTTAAAAGAACTACATAGCAAAAATGATTGAAAACCTCTTTTAAAAAACTCAAATTCAATAGATAGTACAAAAAGCAAACTATACACAGCTTAAGAGAAAATTACCAAACAAGATAATATATCCTTTCATAGTTTTTCATTGCCTGCTCACTTACTGAGAGTAGTGTGGTGACAGTCTCACTGGAAACATAATTAAATAGCAGCACAGCATTTAAAGTGGTGTTTTCCAGAGGGATAGACAGGCCCCATGTGAATGCATAGCATTTAGTCAGTAGGAATAAATGCTAGCTCTTACCGAGTCCTTATTCTGTAACACACGGTGCTAAGCACATGACAAATATGTCTCCTTTTATACTCATACTGACCCTATACAAATATAGAAAGATAAAAGGTCTACACCAAGGCTCAGCAAGTGACTTGTTCAAGGTCACAAAACTAGTACGTGTAGAAACCAACATGTAATCTCCAAGCCTGCCTCCAAGTAACCAACTTGATGTACCCAACATAGGTCAACAGAAATGTATCTTACTTTGGGCTGTCTTTTACCTTGGCAAACCATACACCTTCTATTGACAACAATTCTCTTCTTGATGAATCCTTGGGTCCTCTTCTCAACCAGGCCTGGACCTCAGACTTCTGTATCCAGTTTTAGCAAGAATCCTGCTAAGTCAGTTTAGAGAGAACCCCCAACCCTTAATATCTAATCAACTTCTTCACCCCCTTCCCCTACCAACTCTTGATGTCTCAGCCCTTGACCTGCCTTTAGCAAGAAGTCTGTTAGGCCAGTTTAGCAAGAATCCCTATATCCCCGATGTCCCCTCTTGGTAATTTCCTACCCCTAAAGTCCTCGCTGTGTCCCTTGGCTATGAACTCCCAGCTGTCTTTGTTGTATTCAGAGTTGAGCCTGATCTCTCATCCCTACTATAATCCGCCTTTCCAAGTCTTAAAGTCTTTCTTGCCCTTTTAAGGAGTGTCAGAATAATTTTTTCTTTAACGACGTATTACAATTTTCTGATTTGTACAGTCAAAAGATTATAACAATTTTAAAAATGGAAATTGCTAATACTAGAAATTATTTAATTAGCACATAACTAAAATATCCTTGAGATCAATTCCATTAATATCTCTGTTATAACCAAGACGATTTTATAGAACTTTGTCACTTTCACAGTCTATTCTCCTGTCATTATATGTTACCACACAGGTCGAACATCAAATATTCTCAAATCTTTACATTCCTTCTTAGGAAGAAAAACTGCTAACTCCATGCTGCTTCCTTAGAATTTTACCAGTATGTGCACACGCAGGCGCAGGCACACGCGCACGCACACACACACACACACACACACACACACACATCATGGACCCAAATAATACAATGTGTTACAGTAGTGTTTATGATTTCCTTAAAGTTCTAAAGGTTCTATATGAAAAGATTAGAAGTAAAATATTAAACTGCATATTAAAAAGTGCCCTACAGATTACTATTATGATTTCTCCCTCAGATAAAAAGACATGCAAGTAACAGACTGTGTTGAGGGTTTACATAACATTCCAGGAATCTGAACAGCCAGTCTTTGAGATAGACTCTAAATCGTGTGTGCGTGCGTGTGTGTGTGTATCTTCTATATGTATACCTACCAGTTTCTCCTGCTGTTTTGTTCTTCCCATGAGGCTTATATAGAACATAAGAGCATCCTTTTACATGGAAGTGGTCATTAATTTGTCTAAACCACCTGAAAATAACAAGAAGATTTGCTGATAGCAACAATTCTACAACAAAGATGGCATTATTGCAATTCTAAAGAAATTCAGGCATAGCCCAAAGTTGGCCTATCTACAAGAATTTGAGACCCAGTGGCTGAATACATGGTTTACTATCAACACACATCTATAGCATTATTATTTTGCAAAACTAGAAATAAAGTATTGCCTCTAAGAGGGTCTTCATACCTCATAAGTGTTGTATTTCCCGTGAAAGGACCAAACCTAATATCTTCAAATGGAGGTTGAAAGCCCAGAATATGTAAAGCTTCTTCTTGGGTAATAGGTGGAAGACTACAAAAGAAACATTCATTGTTTTTCATTTTTCAATTCCTGTCATATGTAAATATAACCTATCTCAATGTTAATATACTTGTCTGATTGGCAAATAACTTTAGTTACATTTTTCATTATTTTGTTTTATTTTTTTAGAGACAGGGTCTCACTCTGTGGTCCAAGATGGAGTACAATGGCATGAGCATAGCTCACTGCAGCCTTAAATGACTGGGCTCAAATGATCCTCTTGCCTCAGCTTCCTTAGAGGCTAGAACTACAAGTACATGCCATTGTTCCTGGCTAGTTGTTTTTATTGTTTTACTTTTTGTAGAGATGGGGTCTTGCTTTGTTGCCCAGGTTGGTCTCAAACTCCTTGGCTTCAAGTGATACTCCCGCCTTGGCCTCCCAAAGTGCTGAGATTACAGGTGTGAGCCACTGCACCCAGCCCATTTTTATTTTATTGAAAATAATACATGTATATATTTTAAGCTAAAAGATTTATACTAAAATACAGCAGGGTTTTTCTAATTTATAAAAAATATCTTCTTAAAAATTTTCTGTTATAGAAAAAGCAACATCAAATTATCTTGGAGTTTGGGGATATTGATAAATTGACATACTTACTTTCCAGCTCCCATTGTGCTGTATAAGAAATTCCAACAAGAAATTAATGAGGAGATGCCACAAGAAGTCTTATACTGTGGTCGGCTTATGCAATACCTGAGAAAACAAAAGACCATTTTCTTCACTTGAATGAATACAAAATAGGCATGCTAGAAATAGAAAACTCATTACAATTAAGAGTGTTAATATAATGAAAACTTTGATCCCCTAAATCAATGTGAAAATCTTCCATTTTCCTAATTAATCATGTCATAACTGTAAAATAACAATAAATCACCTACTTTAATAAAGACAGCTAAGTATGACTAACTACCAGTTAAAGTGGATGTTATACAAACCAATGGGAAAAAAATTAATATATAAATTTAGACATCACTTATTAAAATTTTGGTGTAAAATCCTGGTTGAACTGCATACGTGGTTATTTGCTTCCTCAGAAATACAGGAGAAACAACGCATTACCCCCTTGTATCAACTTCTCAGAGAGATTCTTCAACCCAAACTAAATATCATCCATTTATTACACACTGTGTCCATCTAAAATCCTTGGGCAAGAAGCCATGAAGCAGTACTTCTCCTGTCACAGAGAATTTTAAAAGTAAAACACAAAATCCTTCCATGGCATGATTCAGTGGCACTCAGCAATCCAGACAATTTTCCAAACAGTCATGATTCAAGAGAGAAACTGAGGCTAATGTGAATAGAAGGAGAAAGAGACAGACTATTCTGTTTTAAGGAAGGAATAGGTTGGCTTTCAAATGATCTTCTTCTACTGCTTTCTAAAGAAGATGCTAAGAAGTAGCCAGAATGAAACAAAGAAACAAGACCTATCACCACTAAGAGCAACATTAGTATCATCTGAAAAATTAATTTACAAAATGAAAAATTAGACATATGCATGTGTACATATATGTATTTGTATATGTACATATACTATGCATATTGGCACACATACAAGTTAACCATGACCCTTAAATCTTTTTTTTTTAAGTTCTAAGGTACACGTGCAGGATGTGCAGCTTTTTTGAATAGGTAAATGTGTGCCATGGTGGTTTGCTGCATCTCAACCCATCACCTAGGTATTAAGCCCCATGTGCATTACTTAGTTTTCCTGATGCTCTCTTTCCCCCATCTCCTACCCCTCAACAGGGCCCAGTATGTGTTTTTCCCTCCCTGTGTCCATGTGCTCACACTGTTCAGCTCCCACTGATAAGTGAGAACATGGGCCATGACCCCTAAATCTACAGACTGAACTACACAAAATGATACACAAAAGTAATAACTGTCACTTAACATACTAAGTGCTGTCTTCAACACCTCATTGTCAAATCTATTGAATCCTCCCTCAGTTGTGCTTTGTTCTTTAATTGTGATAAAAACATACAACATAAAAATAAAAATAATAAAATAAAAAATAAATTCTGCACGACAAAAGAAACAATCATTACAGTGAGCCAGCAACCAACAGAATGGGAAAATATTTTTGCAAGCTACCCATCTGACAAAGGGCTAATATCCAGAATCTACAAAGGACTAAAATAAATTTACAAGAAAAAAAAA